CTGGGGACCTCAGGACAGTTACCCCAGGGCTCCGGGGGGGCTGGGGACCTCAGGACAGTTACCCCAGGGCTCCGGGGGGGGCTGGGGACCTCAGGACAGTTACCCCAGGGGTTCTCGGGTGCAAAAAGCAGTCACCGTGTCAGCTTGCTGGGGTCCGTTTGGGGTACCAGGGAAGGTTTCTGAGTTTTTACTTTCCAATATGGTCTCATTATCTGTAACAACTAAAGATAACATTTCAACTTCTTAAACCAAGATGAGATTCCTGTGTTTTAACAGCTTATAACTATTGCTATTTCAAGCTTGGACAGTTCCAGTTGTGCCTGGATTATGTTTCTGGTTTTAGAGAGAGGGTGTCTGGCCCTGGGTTGGGTGGAAGTACCTGGCCTGTCTGTCTGTCTGTCTGTCTGTCTGTCTGTCTGTCTGTCTGTCTCTCAGAGTCAGGACTGCAGCTTTGTTCCCCCTTCACAGAGTTACTTCAACAAGAACAGGCAAAAATATCCATATTGGGGGAAATAATTAACTATGCTAACATAATGCCTATGGCTTCATCTTTTATTTATAACGAGGGAAATTCCTATGGAAACCAAGCACTTGTCAGGATTCTAGATTCTTCCCCTGTGGGAGAGCCGTCATGGCGGGCGGCTGGGCTGCTGCTCCTTCCCGTGGAGGCTGCTGGGTGGGAGGTGTAGAGATAGCTGCGGATTTATAAAGCTTGAGAGAGAACCGACCACCTGATCAAACCTGAGATAGGAAACAGTCCTCTGAGGGAGGAACTCATCATTTCAGATCCCGGCTAAAATTTTTAGAATAGGAGTAAGACTCTAAGACTTTTTGTGGCGATTTCACAGTAACTCCTGTATTGTGTCTTTGAACAAAACCATTCCACTCGTAGGTACCCACTTGTGCTAAGCGTTTGTGACTAATCACGCTGACCGGCCGATAGCTAAGTGTTAAGAAGATGCGCTCGTCCTTTTCCTGGTCTGTGCTGTTTCTCATGAGCAGTGTCCTGGAGCCTGGGCAAAGCCTGAGCCAGTGAGCAGCCGCCTCCGCTGCTCTGCTGGAGCCATGTGGCAGCTCCTCAGAGAGCCGGCACAGACGCACGGCGTGCGGCCGAACGCTGCCAACGGATGGAGCTCAGCCGGCGTCTCCAGCCCCGATCTGGGTGGTGCAGCCTGGCCTCACCGGAAGCTGGCAAATGTCACCATTGTCTTCAGGGACCTCAGTGCCCAGACATGGGAATCTGCCAGCTCTTTCTCTTTGGTGTCCAGACGCGAACCGCCATCTTCTCTTCCTGGCTCACAGTTTCATGTCTCTTGCGTATACATGACAAAAACACCATGAGATTTGCCATTAGGGCGAGGAGCAATCTGTACCATATAAACCAGAATAGCAGCCCCGTCTTCAAGTCCAGCGTCTCATGTCTGATGCACAGTGTTGCGTGGCTGAGCGCGTGGCTCTGTGTTCTACTCGGCATGTGAACAGCACACTTGGTGCCTGGGAGACATGCATGCATCTCAGGTGTGGCGTCTAATCACAGAGCTTCATTTTCCAGAGCAAACAAAACCTCAGCCACCCCGTGTAGCTTTCGGCCCCAAGCCTGCAGAGGGCTCGCTGGTGGCTGGAGCTCCGTCTCCCTGCGATTACCTCCTATGCAAGCTGCCAGCATCTTCACGGCCAAAGCCCGGCTTGCCTGGCTGCCTGCTGCTCCCCTGCAGATAGGGGGAGCTGGGG